ACAAGAGGTATGCAAGGAAAAAAATAAGGCAGTACTTTTGGCTGCTCTAGTAAACCCTCTTTTTTTGGAGCCCAGAAACCACCTGTTTTTCCAACTTCATTGCTACCATCATACAGCTAAAGCACTTCCACAATTCAAAACCTAGTTTTCTGCTTAGTTTGTTTTCCCCACAATCTACTGAGTTTTTTCCCTGTTTTCTATCTGGAGCTCCTTTCTTCCCAATATTAATTTATCACAATCATGGGCAAACAAATCCTCACAAAATGCATGAAGAAACACGTTATATTTACTATTTTTGCTATCTGAGGACTGATTTCAAAAAATTTCACTGCTTAAATGTACCAATGTGCAATGATGCAGAAGCAAGTGCTTAGCAACTCAAAATCACTTCTAATAAAGGCCAAAGAGATAAAAAAAAACATCCAACCTGAGTATAAAAGAATTTAATCAGAAAATAGTTTTCATATACCTTGGCATTTAAACCAGAACAGTTCTGCACACTCCTAGCGCAGCTTCGGCATCAAGACCTTCCTGTGCTCAGAGTAAAAGGGGTAATCAAACCTCAAAATATTCACACAGCTTTTTCTCCTTCCCTCTGGATTTGAGGGCTGCTGCAGCGTGAGTAACGACCAGAAATACCCAAACAACTGCCTCTTCCCTCTGGGTTAAGAGCCCCGAAAGCTTTACCTACATCAAGAGCATGTGGAGGGACTCTCAGGATGACTCCATAGGCTTTGTTCTCCCGAGTGCATTACGAGACGTAGTCACATTTCATGGGAAAACATTTTTTGTGACTCACCTTAATTTGCATTTTACTTAGTCAAACAATAGCAATTATACGCCTGAGCTCAGTTTTGACATTCCAATTTTGAAGGCAGCCCTCCTGGCAGGAAGAGCCCTCCCTACCTGCGTACGCCCCGGCAAAGGGGCGCTTCACCTGCTGGCCCCCAGAGCTCCCCAGCTCCCACACGGCCCTTTGCAAGGGTTCACTTCAAGCTGTCACCAAGCTGACATGCTGCATGCCAATTAAAAAAAAAAATTACAAAAGAAAATTAAGATCTCAAGCACACATTGACTGGAAGCTACTTACACTAACATTCTTCATATTCAAGAAAAACTGCTGGTAGCTGAGAGGCAGCAGAGACACTGCTCGTGTCAGGGGGTTTGGGGAGAGGGGGGACAGGCAGCCAACCATCACGAGAAGCCCTTGGTGCTAAGGAGCTTCAGGGAGCAACACCAGCGCCCAGAGAACTGCCACCACCCACAGACCTGACCCAACTGCAGAGTATCCACAGAGTAACTGAAAACTCACCATAATTTCTCAAAAGACCAAACCCCACCACCATAAAAACGATTTCTGCACCAGAGGATTACTGAAGAGCTCTTAAAAATAAAACCAGTTTGAGATTGACTAAATCTTCTATCCTTTGCTCCCTCTCCACCTGCAAACAGCAACACAGCATTTGAGGACAAGGCCTAAAAATAAAACCAGTTTGTGATCGACTAAACCTTCTATCCTTTGCTCCCTCTCCACCTGCAAACAGCAACACAGCATTTGAGGACAAGGCCCCCGCTCTCTCCAGGGAGGTTACGATGACTTAGGGATTCTTGCCGAACAGGCATCTGGATTATTTATAGTGCCTCGAGACAGGGTAATGAAATCATTCACACAGGCACCCGGCACAGACCAAAGCCCAACTGCTGTTTTAGCAGGAAATATTAGATTGAAGTAATTCGAAGTCAAACATTAAAGAGAGTATACCAAATTACACGTATAGTAAATTATATCCCAACTCCCATCACCGATCATGCTTAATCACTCCTTAAAATGTGCAAAAGATGAAAGTAAGTGAACATAAGTTACAAATGTGAAGTAGAAATGCATTATTATTGTATCTTCTCTTACATATACAGACAAGCCTTTGGTTTTATAGCATTAAACCACTCCCCCCACTCATCTTTTATATACAAGGGCTAGTTCCAACATTCTTTGAGACTCATATTTTCCTACAAAGACTAGAAAGGCTGAATCAGTCCCCGCTGAGAGCTACCAGTACCACAGGATACTTACAGGTTTGGCTATCTCAAGTACTTGGTGGAGCTCAGTGTAAACACAGAAACATGAATCAGAGCTAACACGCTACCAAGTATTGTTGGGTTTTGGTGGGTTTTTTTTTTTTTAAGTATAAGGAGAGATTCCAATAAGCCAGTCACCTTCAATGTCATCTACTGTGTACACAAGTGCTTTGGAAATAGTATTTCCTTGTTGCTACAGGTCAAAGACTCCATCTGAGGCTTTTTCCTGAAACGCTCCTCTTCCTGCTGCAAAACCAGCTGGAGTCGTGCAGCCTCCGTGGTGGGATTTGTCTCGATGGTACCACCTGGCAAAGCACCTCTCCAGGCTCCCTGTCCCATTCCTGTCCTCGCCATGGCAGCACAGGAAAGACCGAGTCTGAAAACGGTAGCTACCAGTGGCAATTTGAGATAAGGTATTTTCAGACAGATTACTCCATCGCTTTGCTGTAATAACACAGAGAACAACTCAGCTGTCTCAATTCGGTTCAAGATTTTTCCTTCACACATGGGCTGCTTTTTAGATGTCTCCCTTTCAACTGACACTGCTTGCACGGGACACTTTCCCCCAGGTTTCCTCATTTAGCAATTACTTACAGAAGAATTAAGAAAACAATCCATTTAAGACATCTTTGGGCAGTGCAGCACCTGGAATTCAGCACCGCACAGAAAAATCTCTTTGCACCCCAAGATCTCCTAAATTCCACCACGAAGACGCAAGTCTGACACGCCCTGAGACACCAACTAGTCATCAAGTGGTGTTCCCAGCTACCACAGCCAGACATTTAGCTGGGAATTTCGGCAATAAAACTTGTTTGCCTTCAGTGCACATGGGCAACAAAGGGTTTATGTGCTCCAGAAATTAATACCTACTGGTATAAATTGGTTTGACTGCTCAGGAACACTTCCAAACTCTGCCCGTGCACTCTTGCTGCTAAACCCGGCGATACCCTACTTGAATGCTCAAACACCACAGTTAGACCAAGAAGTAATAATATTTCCTAAATTACTAATTACCAAAAATCACTCATCACTAAAAGCGCGAGTTCTCTGGAGCACGAGCCACCATTTAGCCACTGAGTTCTTAGCTAAGACATTGACTATTTTTATCTTTGAGAATTGGAATAAACCTTCCCAGCAAACTCGGAGAGCACCAAAGGCCATGTGATCCGGGTGGGAATTTGCCAAGCAGCGCAGAATTACACCACAGCCAGGGCAGCAAAATAAATACGGCCTTCAATAGGCAAGGTATGCGATGTTAAAGAGACATAATAACGTGACTGTCACACACACACACCCCCAAGGCAACTCAGCAAAACCCTGAGTTGAAGCTCAAAAAGCTTTTAGGCAAAACTGCGTCTTGACACTTAGTTGTCACCCAAGTATATTTTTTTTCACCTCCAATTACCCAAGGCCCAGTTAAGAGATTCTTTTTACGCCTTGTAGTCTGAGCTGCAATTTTTAGGGTGATGTTTTGACACAGAGGAGGAAGTCCACAGACATGTCCTTACACCTAGCACTCAGATTTCACTCTGGTTTCCTACCCTTGCTGAACAGCCGTATGGCCAAACGTGAAAGGGGTTTATATAGAATCACAGAATGGGTAGAGTTGGAAGAGACCTTAAAAGATCATTGAGTTCCAAACCCCCTGCCATGGGCAGGGACACCTCCCACCAGACCAGGTTGCTTGTTTCTCTCTAGCACAGAAAGCCAATTCAAATATCCCCCCAAAAAAAGATTTTTGTGGTAGGTATTGGTGCAGGTGACACCAATGGGCACTGCAAGAAAGATGAGTTCTCTGAAATTGCCACAGTCACCAAGGTTGGAACCTGCTGACCTGAACTCTTCATCTGCAAAACAAGCCAGTGTTCAGGAGAAAAAAAAAATGAAACACTATGATAAACCCAGGGAGAAATGCTGTTGGGTACAAGGCCTGTCTCACTGCATACATCAAACAGAAAGAGGAAAGCCAGGAAAATACACAGCTTCATGACCACTGAATCACAGAGCAGTGTGGGTGGGAAGGGACCTTAAAGCCCCCCCAGTGCCACCCCCTGCCCTGGGCAGGGACACCTCCCACCACACCAGGTTGCTCCAAGCCCCCTCCAACCTGCCCTTCAACCCCTCCAGGGATGGGGCAGCCACAGCTTCTCGGGCCAACCTGGGCCAGGCTCTCACCACCCTCCCACCAAACAAGTTCTTCCCCACAGCTCAGCTCCATCTCCCCTCTTGCAGTGTCCAACCCTTCCCCCTCCTCCTAGGGCTCCCCTCCCTCAGCCAGAGTCCCTCCCCAGCTTTCCTGGAGCCCCCCTTCTTGAGGGACTGGCAGGGGCTCCAAGGTCTCCCCGGAGCCTTCTCTTCTCCAGGCTGACCCCCCCAACTCTCTCAGCCCCCCCTCCCAGCAGAGGGGCTCCAGCCCTCCCAGCACCTCCTCTGGCCCCGCTCCAACAGCTCCATTATGGTTCTATGATTCACCCTGTGATGGTTACAGGTAACCCGGGAGGGACAGTGCCGAAGGCGCTACCCCAGTCACACCAAGGAAGGGCTAAAAGCGGCTTTGCCAGCAGCCCGGCGGCTCTCTCACAGCGGAGGGAAGGACAACAGCTTTGTTGGGTGAGAACACAGACCCCACCCACGAGTGTCATCATTTCTGCTCCGCCACATCAATAGCGGCGAAGGCACCGTGCGGGGCCGGCGACCCCCCCTCCCCCGGGGGTGCAGGGGGACAGGGACCCACCGGTGTGTGGGGGCAGCCGGGGGGGCTCTGCCCGCCGACGGCAGAGGGTGGCGGGGAACGAGCTGCCAACAAAACCCCCAAGGGAGGGGAAGGGAGGGAAAGAGAAGGTCGCTGAGGGTCATGGAAACCCTGGAGAGGGCCCGGAGCCGCGGGGGAGCGGGGAGGGGAGCGCGGGGGGGGAGGCACTGACCGATGGTGGAGATGAAGGTGGTGTTGAAGGCATCGTCGGAGAAGCGGAAGAGCACGCAGGTCTTGCCGACCCCCGAGTCCCCGATGAGGAGCAGCTTGAAGAGCAGGTCGTAGGTTTTCTTCGCCATGGGGAGGCGCGGCGGCCGCCGCCGCCCGCTC